AAATAAATAAAATCTTTAAAAAAAAAAAAAAAGAAGAGATGTGGGTGGGGATGGCTGCCCCTCCAGCTGTGATTCCATCTTGCCTTTCATCTGCCTTAGAAATGATCTGTGAGGGGAGAAGGAAGGGATCGGAACCCAGGCATTGGGGGCAACAAGGGCTCTGCTCTCCGAATCCCACACCCCAACCTTCCCTGGGTTCTGATCCCACCTCTCTCACCTCAGAGGCTCCGGTCAGGTCCAAACCCTACCCATCCTGCCTCCAAACAAGTCTGTAGAAAGAGTTTGCTTGAAAATCGGCTTTCATTTGGATTTGGATCCAAATTTGGATCAGCCTGAAATTGTCCTTCTTGAGAGCACCAGGAAGGTGTGGGGGATGGGAGGCTTCCCCTAAGACCTCAATCAGCTGTGAGGTTGTGACTCGTGACTCATGACTCAGACTAGGGAATGGCTCAAAAACAGCCTAAAATGGAAAGAAACAAGGAATTTTCAATGAATGCTCTGAGGCAGGGGTTGCAAATCCTTTCCCCAGCCCTCCCCACCAAATGCAGAGCAAGGAAGTCTCCATAGCAGTCTTGATGTGAATAAGGCTTGAGACAAGGGACTCAGGTGCTGTCAGACTACAGGCCTTTCCCTGGTCCCCATCTCTAATCTTACCTCCTTCCAGGGATTTTCCATTAGACACAGGGCTGGTTGGTCCCCTGGGCCTGAAGGAGAATGTTAGCTCCTTGTTTGCACACTTGATAGAACCATGGCAACCGGCTCCCATTGTGGGGTCAGTCACAGGACCAACGATGTGGTCCAGCAAGCAATCCAAGCTAAGGAGGCCTGGCTGCCATGGTGACAGACAGGAGGACCAGTTTCTTTGAAAGGGGTAAAAGGCTGGAGCACCTCTGAGGTGCAGGCTGCCTCTGGATTGAGTCCAGCTTGGAGCTTCCCAGCAATGCTGCCTCAACCTTAGTCCAGGGTACCACCAGATCCCACCTGGACAACTCAGTAGCCCCAAACAGTTCGAATTGGTTCTACCCGTCCATTTCATAATCCATCTTCCAGCAGCATCACTGTATCTTTATAAAATATTTATCACATTGCCCTTCCCTCGCTGATGATTTCCATTGCACTTAGAATAAAACCCAAATCCTGTCTTATAGACTATGAATGCTGAGTAGTCCTGGGCCGCTCTCCTGCCACACGCCTTGCTGTCTGTTCTCCTCTGAAGGACCCTGCAATCTCACCTAAGGGCAATTGTGTTTGTCATTCTCTCTGCCTTGGGGATTCTTCCTCCAGATCTTCCTGGGCTGCTTCCTAGTGTCATTTAGGTCAAAGTTCAAATGCCACCTCCTCAGGCTACCATTAGTGTGGAGAAGTCTGATGTGCAGAGTAGCTCAACCTCTCCTGGGGCCCTGGAGAGAAAGGAGGCGGGGTTGGGGTGGGGAAAAGTTGGGTCAGGAGACCAGGTCTGGCTCTGCTCCAGGCCTGCCCACTCAGTTTCACAGCTCTAAAGATGAATGATAACTAAGAGGTGAGTAGTTTTTTACCTGGGCTCCCAAGAGCTCAAGGGACCAAGGGGATGCCTGAGACCTTTTTCCCCAGGTGATTTCCTCCACACCACAGAGAAGAGCAAGGGGGAAGCTGAATGGGAGGGGCTCTGGGTACTCTTGTCCCATTGAAGGATCGTAGCTTTAGATTTATATTTAGAGATATATGTGTATATATGTATGTATGTGTGTGTATAGAGAAAGAGAAATTTACATAGATATGTAGATATGGATGGATGGATGGGCAAGGTAAGGATTAGGGTCATGTCATACTCAAGATTTTCTTAGAAAAACAGAGAGTCAATATTTCTTTTAAGTTGTAAGACCTCCCAAGTAGATTTCTGCAGGCCCTTCAAGCTCTGCCTGTGCTTGATCTTACAAGAGGCCACTGGAGGCCCCCAGACCCTGCATCCTGCAGTTGCTGAAATCCGTGATAAATTGTGAGAGAGAAAGTGGGGGCGCCCTCCAGTGGGGAAAGGGAGAATTTTTCCTCAATCCCATAACCACTGGCATTTTTCATATATTGTCTTTAATCCACACAGCAACACCAGAGGGGTCGCCTTTATTAGCATTGCGATTTTACAGATGTAGAAGAAGGGACTTGAAGAGCCTAGGGAATGTGTCCAAGATCACAGCTGGGCAGCGGCAGAGGCTGGATTGGGCGGGCTCTGTATTGGAAGCTCTGTTCTTTTCCATCCTCCAGGCCCTCTCTTCCAGAAGGTTCTCCATCAGCCTCAGTGAAGTCTTTTCATTCCTTATCAACCAATGTCTATTCCCTCCTTCACCCTGCCTCCCTCTATAAACAGGCCCTGGGTGGGCTCAGTTTTCCTGGACAAGGCCAAGCCCTCCCCTGCAGGGGGGCCTTGCCATGGTTGGTCATCTCTTGGTTCAGGACCTCTGAAACCATTTCAGAGTCCAAGCATTGTTCCTTGTTCACCTTGGTCACTGGGCTCTGAGGAGAAGGAAGGCAGGAGTCAAAGGTGAAGAGGAAATGGTGAAAAGGCCCAGAGGAAAAGAGATGGGATCCAAATGAAGAATTTCAAAATCCCTGAGGGCCCCTCACCTTAGGGAACAGCATTCAGAGTTTCTCTTTGCACTTGCCCCTAGAAAACAAAGATTAAGCCAGGGATACCAAGTAGTAGCCATGGGTCCAAATCCCCTCCTTTTGCAGACATGACCAATGTATCATGGTATTGCTTCGGGCTGGAATCAGACAGGTGCTCTCTTCATTCTATCCACTGGACTTCTGATGGATCCCACCTACAACCCTGACACTCCTTTCCTTCCCAACTGTTCTGTCTACCGGTCATGCGCAGTGTGGACAGACCACAGGCCTCACCCACCTTGGCGTAATGGTTTTGATGGAAAAGGCTGCCTATGCATCCCTCATGCAGGTCTCTGAGGCATGGATCCTGGGCATGTCCTCCATCTTCTGGGTCTTCACATCTTGAGGGTCATCATCCTTCCAGAACAGTCCTGCAGGGAGAAAGGGAGGAGTGTGAGGTGACACTTGGGACGGCTGGATTGGCCCACCCCAGAAACCAGAGTGTGATTAGAATTTCTGCTTTCCCCCAAGTGCGTAAGGACCACAGGGCATTGGAGGGATCCAGAGACTGGCTGGGGGGCAGGAGTTTGCCTTCTGCCTCCCTCAGCATTGGAATCCCTGTTCTTACTACTTCTGTGGCCCTGGGCAACTTAATTAAATTGGCCGAGCTTCAGTTTTCTCATCCATGAAATGATGAACCATTGTTGAGAGAATTACAGGAGATAATCCATGTAAGTTTCTTAGCACGGTGCTTGGTGCACCGTAAGTGGTCAAATGTGAATTTAACAACAGTGCTGTTAGGAGAACTGAATGAAGCTGAGGATGTACACAATGTTTTTAAAGCTCTAAGGCATTACTGGCACATTAGACACCATGATCATCAGTAGCAGTCATTTGAACTCCAAGCAGATCTCCCTTCTGAACCCCTTACAACCATGAAACCCTGCTTTCAAGAAGGGTCAGACGCCCCCCAAGGAATCCCCTCCCACTCTCCAGCTCCATCTGTCATGCTTCTATTTGCCATAAACTCTGAGCTGCCTACTCAACCCAGTTCAGAATCTGGACTATGTGTGTATGGCGGTGGGGGAGAGGGAGGGTCTGACTGGAGACCCCATGATCCCTGGCTCTGAGCACTTGAATAGCACAGTGGGGAGGGGTACGGGGCAAGTCCCAAGGAGATGGATGCCAACCTCCTCCAGGGACTTCTAATCGCCTCTACCATGCTCCTCTAAAGAAGGCGAGTGAGAACAGCTTCCCCACGAAGCCTGGGAGACCACCAACCCTGTCTAGCTCAGGATCTGGGCAGGTGAGGCTACAAAGGTGAGTATGATGAGAAAGTTCCAGGCAGAGAAATTTGTGGAAGGTGCTTTTCATGTCAAGCCGGGGATCCCTCCCCCACCTTTACACCTGACAGCCTGGTCTCTCTCTTTCAGCTCTTCTGCTTTCACCTTGAGGCACCAGCCGCTGGAGCACACCTTGCCAGTATTGGAAGGCCAGGCTGATGACTTCTTGCCAGGACCTGGACGGTTGCATTCCCACCTGGCCCTGTCCCTCTAAGGGCACAGAATGGCATTAGCAGGGACATTGGCCAAAAGCCTTCAGGAGGTCAGGGTTGCAGAGAAGCAGCACCCTCTCCACCATCACTCTCAGATCCCTCCCCCTTCCCGGTTATCAGCTCTCCCTTCATCTCCGCCCTTTGCTCTTTATCCTCTGGGTCTCACTCACCCTTGGCACAGACTTCCAGGTAAGAGCAGAGTCTTCGCGCCAAGAGACAGCCTGTAGATGGACAGGTGAGCAGAGCCTCAGAGGGCTACAAAAATTGAAATGGACAGACAGGCGGACAGGCTGGGGATGGGGGAAGAAGTTCAGCTGCTTCCTGGGTGAAGAGCTGAAAAGAGTTCTGGAATCTTTGGAAGAATAAACCTGGAACCTGGGTTCAGACTATTAGGGCTGGCAACCCAGGATCTCATCCTGGAAGCCACAGTATACCCAGCTGCACGATGTGGGGAATAACCCTTCTATCATACAGATTCTCCTCAGTCCAGGTAGACGGGGTGGGGTGGGGCAGAATCCAGAAGGCCAAAGGGTTCAGGCATCCGCACAGGGCCTACCACCCCTTCGCCGCCCACCCAGCCCTCCGCAGAGCGCGGGCCCCACATGGAGTCCTCCGCACTGGTCTCCAAGTTCAAGGACCCGTGGAGGACAAGTGGAGGGTGAGGAACACGAGTGCGGGGAAGGCCAGGCGTCCTCCCACAGCTGCCCAAACCTGCGTCCCCAGGCTGGAGGGTAAGTAAGCCCAGGCGCCTGGCTGGGCCCAGTCATCTCCTCGAGGTCGTCGGGACTGGATGCCTGAGCACCCCGCTCCTTCTGCCTACCCCTCACCTCCAGGCACCTCCACCCTGGCCCTCAGCGCGTGCTTGTTTCTCCCGTGGCCTCGTGGCCCGGATCTGTGTCCCCTGGCCCACCCGGGGTCCTCTCCATTCCTCCTGCTGAACCCTCAGTCTCCCCTGGGGCTCGCTTCTCCTCCGTCCTACCTCCACCTTCCGATTTTTAACGCCCCCCGCCACCCTCCGCCTGCAAGATGCCTTCCGACTTTCCCCACCCAACACAGTTCCCCGAACTTCGTGCACCCGCCACTCCCGCAGCCCTCGTTTCCCGGCCCTTCCCCCAGCTTTCCTCCTGACCGTGGGGACTAACGGAGTCCCAGCCCCCCGGGCAGCTACTCAACAGCACGAAGCAAAGAATCAGACGCATCCCCACAGGTCCCCGGGCCCCCCGCGCCCGCTGCGCCCGTTGCTGCATGGTCGCGTCTGAGCGTCTGCTCCAGCCGGCGGCCTAGGCCAGACCCCAGCAGCGGCTGCGAGCGCCCCCCTCCGGCAGCTGGGCCAACTGCGGCGGCTGGTTACAAGGCCCCCAATCCGGGCTCTTCCGGGTCTTGGCGTCAGAGTCCTCCTTTTAAAAGTGGGCTGCTCCTGACTATAGTTGAGCCTCGCTCTAGAACCCCCTCCGGACACCCCTATCACACAGGAGGGTGTCCGGAGGAGGGTGTCAGGAGCATCGCCTCCACCTCCTTATCTCCAAGGATTAAAGATGGGGGGGGCGGCGGGGGAGGTGGCTATCATGTGTAATTGAAAATCTGTAAACAGCATCTGGGCATAGTTCTTGAGAAGTAGGATCCCCTATTTGGGTACTCCTTCAGACAGGGTGCTAGGTAAGATTGGCTGCGATCAAACCCAAGCACCTGCAGGCAGCACTTTAACTTCTCTGGGCCCCAGTTCACCTCTAAGATGAGGATGATAATAGTATCTAGCTCACAGTGTTCCTAGGAGGATTAATTAGTTGAATACTCTGTGAAACATTTAGAAGTAGACCGGACTGGCACATAGTAAGTGCTCAGTTAACATTGGCCATGACTGTCCGGCCTTTCTATCATTGCCCCACCCCCAACCCCCAGGCCTTGATAAGCTTTATCTTTTCCAAACCCCATACCACTGCCCTGGTTCAAACCACCATCATCTCTTACCTGCTACTGAGATTGCTTCTTGTCTGGTTGCCTGGATTAACTGATCGATTGAGGTGTGTCCCAGGAGCCTAGAATTCGTGTTGTTCCACTCGCCTCCCAACAATCTCTTTTATAAGCACCAGGAGGAGCTTTCTAAAATAGAAATTGAAGCATGTTTCTCCACTGCTTACTCCTCTTCCACGGCTTTCCTTTACACTTCAGACTAATCGCTGACACCGTCCCCCCCATGCCTGTAAGGCGCAGCATGACCTAGCCTCCCCTCACTCTCCGGTCTTTGCCTTCTCTCTCTCTCTCCCCGTGCTCCAGCCACACTGGCTTCCTCTGCATTCGTGAACCCCTGAGCTCTTGCAAACTCTTTCCTCCTCTCCCCGCCCTCACTGTTGTCCCTTTGTTTCAGCATCAATACCACCCTCTCAGAGGTGTGTTTCTTCTCCCTTCACATCATTACCACCTCACTTCTACCCCTCTTCTCCTCCACAACACACACCGCTATTCATAATGACTTGTTCATTTCTGCCTCTTCACTGGAGTGTAGTTGCGAGAGCGAGGGGGACAGGTCAGTGTCTAGCTCCAGACCGATCTCAGAGTAGATGCTCAGTACATAGTTGTTGAATAAATAAAAGGCGCTCTGGGTCCAGAGACAGGTAGGAAACGTCTCTGCCTCAGTGTTCTCATCCATTAGATGGGCACCCCGTGAGGGAGCCCTGAGAATGGAATGGCAATGTTGGATGTGAGAACAACACATGCTATACAGACCTGGTGGGAGTGGAATTCTGCTCCACCTCAGCTTCAGCCTCCCTGGGATTCTCCGACCACAGTCCAAGCCCCACGGTGGGTGAGAGACCTTGAAACCCAGAAGGGCAGGCCTGGTCTGCAGGAGTATCAGGAGCAGAACTCAGGAGTCCTGCTTCACAGCTCATCGGGAAGATGGGAGAGACCCCAGCTAGTCCCAGAGCACAGAGGCTGCTCACCCTGATGGGGAGAGGGGGAGCCCTGAGGCAGACTCAGCCTTGGAGGCTCCGCAGGAGCTTCTTGTCTGCAGGTTATTGGGGAGGGGTGCGGAGGGGGTGCAATGAGCAAGGCATGGGCCTCCATTAACGTGCCTCCTTGTGGATATCCAGGGAAGGAGATAATATCATTGTGTTGAGGTCTGTAAGACCCTTTGTGAGGGAACAGGGTCTCCCCTCGAGGATGTGATCATCCCTGGTGGAAATCTGGAAAAGAGGCTGTGTACAAGGGAGCAAAGGAAGCGTGGTCTCCAGTCCCCGGCAGCTGAGTTCAGTGGAGAGCGGCACCCCCTGGGGAAGCAAGGGTAGCCTGGCCAAGGGAAGGGGATTTTCCAGGAGACCCCCACTGACCCTCTCATCTACTCTCTCCCCAGGGCCTATCTTGAGCTTCGCGGGTGTATTGGGCAAGAAGGGGGCATTTCTTTACATCTAATAACCCAATCATCTTAGAGGAACTCCTCTCCTCTTTCAATTTAGAATGTGTCTAATGCCAACTTTTGTGTTTGAAGGATTTTATGGTCCCCCCCACTCCCATTTTAAGTAGGCTCCATGCCCAGCGTAGGGCCCAACACAGGGCTTAAACTTACAATCCTGAGATCAAGACTTGAGCTGAGATCAAGAGTCGGACACTTAACTGACTGAGCCACCCAGCTGCCTCATTCCAACCCCCCCTTTTATGAGTATTTTTACCTGATGGTTGTGAAAAGTGATACAAATAAACTAAAGTGGGTAAGACATAAGGGTGCAGCTCAACAGATTATTAGAGTGTGAACAGCCATGTCGTGCTCTCCAGGAGACCGAATGCTGCCAATACGCGCAGAAACACCTCCTTGTTCTTGCCAGGTTACATCTCCCCTTCTCCCCGCCCAAAGTTAATCACTCTCTTGACTTTGGGGGCATAACTCCCTTCCTTATCTTTGTCCTTGTGTAACAATGGATGTGTGTTGTGTTACTTAAGCACACATTTCTGAAGAGTGGTGTTTAGAAATGTAATTACATGGTGGGCTAGCTTCCTAGGGCTCCTGCAACAAATTCCAAGCTCGGTGACTTCAAACAAATGTCATGAGCACACTAGGAAGGCGCACACACGCGTTGTGTCTTTCCACAATGTCAGCTTTATTCAGTCATAAAGCAAAGTTAAATTGCAATTATAAAGCGGGTTCAGGATTCCAAACTTGGTGACATCTCACCATGTGATTAAACTCGGCTTCTTACACAATGCACAGAGCAAGGTAGAAGACAAACCACACAACAAACAAGATAACAGAGGGGGTGCAGGAAGTGAACGAACCAAACGCGAAGTCAGTCTGTGGGGCGCACCGTTGAGATAAGGCGTTGGTCCTGTCTGGTCCGGGTCCGTTCTCGGCACTGACTGCTTCTGATGTGCAAGCAGGGAAGGATCTTGGTTCTGTTCAGAGATCGACTGGACAGAGGCTTCAGTGGCCATTGCATTTTTTAAGAGGTCAGACATAGAGGGGTCAGGTCTGAAGAGTCTGCTGCCAGTTTGCTGCCAAAATGCTCCCCTTTTTAAAGGGATTTCATTGGTTTGGGGTCTCTGCAGACCTGTTCTGGTTCTGCTCATTATCAGTTCTGGGGTGTTGGCTGATGCCGGTCCCAGAGATAGGTCCTGGTATCAATACCTTATCTGCTTGTGTCATTGTTTGACGCGGGCACCTGCTTGACGTGAGGGACTCCATTTTGCCCTCTACAATAAAAATGTACTCTCTCACACTTGTGGGCCCAGAAGTCCAAAATCAAGGTGTTGGCAGAGGAATGCTCCCTCCAAAGGCTCAACGGAGTATCCTTGTTTGCCTCTGCCAGCTTCTGGGGACTCCTGGCGCTCCTTGGCCTGTGACAGCATCTCTGCTATGTCTCTGTGTGTCCACATCTCCCTCTCCTTTCTCTTTTAAAGACACTAATCAATGGATTCAGAGCCCACCTAACCCGGGTGGGTTTCTTCTCGAGAACTTTAACCAATTACATCTGCAAGACCCAATTTCCAAATTGGGACACATTCCAACTTGGTTCCAGGGAGACAGCAATTTTGGGGAGACACTATTCAACTCACTAAATTACAATATGTATTATTTTGTGCTGACTGCTTTTTGTTCAACATATTGTATTTTTTAAAAGATTTTATTTATTTATTTGAGAGGGAGTGAGCATGAGCAGGGGAAGGGGCAGAGGGAAAGGGACAAGCAGACTCCCTGCTGAGCAGGGACCCCCCCCCCCAACATGGGGCTTGATCCCAAGACCCTGGGATCATGACCTGAGCCAAAGGCAGATGCTTAACCAACTGAGCCACCCAGGCGCCATATATTTGATTTTTTTAAAGGAATCTCTATGCCCACTGTGGGGCTCAAACTCATGACTCCGAGATCAAGAGTCACATACTCTACTGGCTGAGCCAGCCAGGCATCCCAAAATTGTATTTTATTTTATTTGAGAGAAAGCACTCGTGTGCATGAGTGGGGGGAAGGGCAGAGGAAGACGGAGAAGCAGACTCCCCACTGAACGGGGACCCCAACACGGGGCTCAATCCCAGGACCCCGGGATCATGACCTGAGCCAAGGTCAAATGTTTAACCATCTGAGCCATTCAGGCGTTCCCCCCCCCAATATTATACTTTAAAGACTTACCCGTATCATTGGATGAAACAGTACCCGTATTCATTTTCATTGCTTTATAGTCTTCCACTGTGTGATAACTTTACACTACGATTCAGAGGCTGAGGAACCTCCAGTTTTGGGGGTCCTCATCTTCACAGATCCCTTCCAAGGCTCTGAGAGGAGCCCTAGCAATGTGTTCACATGATCAAATATTTTTATATGATTTGCAAAAGTAATTTGTTATACTATATTTTTCATTCTAGCTACACCTTTTTCTTGCCTGATTGCCCTGGATAGAAGCTCCAGTCTACTGTTGACTAAAATTGGTGAGAACAGACATCGTTGTCTTGTTTCTGATCCTTAGGGCAATAGCCTTCATTCTTTCATCACTGAGTGTGATGTTTATCTGTGGGGTTTTCATGGATACCCTTTATCAGATTAAGGAAGTTCCCTTCTATTTCTGGGTGTTAAATGTTTGTTGTTTTTTTATCATGAAAGGATGGTGGATTTGTCAAATGCTTTCTCTGCATCTATTGAGATGATCATGTGGCTTTTGCATATAATTCTTCCTTAAATGTCCTCATTCTTGTATTTGCTTTCATACTAAATTTTTACTTGTAATTTTGTATTCTTTTACTTAAAGAGGGTCCCCAAATTGTATGTTTCAGCCCCCACAAAACTGGGATCTCTCCCAGTA